TCTAAGTCAGATGTAATTTACGACTGCCCTATAGTCACCGCACCGGCCTCAAAGCAAATACACAAGGAAAGCTATGTCGTTCTTCCAAGAAAGGCCAAAGATCTACTTTGGTGCCTGTTCACTTCTAAGTTTCGACTAGACCCTTTTGAACGAGGATGCGTAAATGACCCCGGACGCGGAAAGCCTGTCGGGTCTGGTCGCCAGGTCGGCAAGAAGTAAACCACGTCTTTAGCGAGCTCTAAAGTTCGTCTTCTTCCAACAGCGCCATTCCACAGCCCTGAGTAGAATCTCTCCATACGTGGTTATTTGCTATGTTACTAGTGAGTCCGTCTGCAGTTCCCTTGGGGTTGTGCCGTTGGAAAGCGAACAAAATAAAAAAATCAGTTTTTTCCCTCTGGCACCTCTTAACCGAAACCGCAGAGGGACGATTGCTCCCTTCGTCTGCATCGTTCTAACAAAGTTAATTCGAAAAGAAACCAGTGAACAATACAAATATCATTTTTTTTTTAAATTTTAACTTTTGGAGATCCTATATTCTGTTAAGTAGGGTACATTTTGAGACCATCCATCGTCCATATAATAATAATATGACTACCATCTCAGAGTTGTACGTAACTGCTGGAATATATCTTTTCTCTTTGTGGCTCTTCTTCAATATTTATACGCGAGCTCAATAGAAAGCCTCAACTGTGAACGTCGAGTCTATATTCTTCTAGTGTCAAAAAAAAAAAAAAAAAACTATTTTTTACGCGTAATTAGTATACATGCAGAATCATTAACGAAAAAGCACCCTGATAACCACTGTGTACTGACACAGTGATCGGAACTGTAATAAATAGAGGCCAACGGGCCAAATTTGTCGCTGTATGGAGAGTCTTTATTTCTGGCTACATCTGTGTTCTTTTTATTATATATATATATATATATATATATATAACAACACCGGTTTTGTACAAATAAATTTTTCAGTGTTTGGGGATCACGTCATACTCTAACAAAAGGGACGATTCTTATGCCATTTCGTTTATTTATGTAAACCGCATTGGCTTACCAGTAATACCTGATGAAAATAGTTAATAATAATTCTGAGCGAAGATTTGCCATTTAGCCTGTGATATTTGTTGGCCTAATTCAAAGATAGGCGACTTGAACGAATCCCTATGTGCTTGCCATTTATGTTTATTTATGTCCATATATGAAAGCGGGCAGCATAGCGCGGTATTAAAAGATCATAACATGTTTACGGTCTATTGTTATTAGTTGATATTATAGAGAATAAAGATCGGCATCGCTCGAAAAAAAAAATCCTACGAACAGCATGGTTTTATTATAATTATATTATTATTATATTATTAGAATTATATTATTTCGTTTGGAAGAACGGATACATGAATATAAAGGTTGATGGAAAAGAGAAGTCTGATTTTTCTATATTAAATAATTAATGAAATTAAAAAAAAAACTACATCTAGTTACAACAATGGTAGACCTTTCGATGAAATAATTGTTGCTTTTTTTAGCTAGCGTTATTAATTAATATAATTAATAACCAATTATTAAACTTAACGGATAAACAATTTTAAGATAACACAATTAGTTTCAGATGGCGCAAAAAACAGTAAAGAAGATCTTGCGTTACACGTTAATATATGACGCAAATTTGCTTCTGTAGTAGTAGTAGTAGTAGTAGTAGTAGTAGTAGTAGACTTAATGGAATATTTGAAGAGATTACCTTAATGTTAGTTTATAGGTGTATTTAATTTGACAAACGAAAAACTGCCTCCGGATTTCTACATACTGCTAAGTGGTGACGCTTTACTCCAACTAGACATCTTGATTTTTTATTATTGTTTTTATGAGCTTGTTACAGGATGGTGCTGCAAACTACTCAAATTGTTTCCTTGTGTCAATCTGCTATCTCACGATTGTAATGAATGGGACTGAGCGAAAACTACCGTGAGGAATAAGATTAGCACATAAACAAACAGGACACATTGCCCTTGCTTAGGCAACGTTTTAGGAGCCAATTTTTGCCGCTGGCGATCTGCCAGTTAGTAACGACAGCGAGAAGAAAAGTCAACACATATAACAGTAGAGAAATCACAGCGTTAGCTATTTTCATCATTCTGTACATATTTACATGTTTGATTGAAGTTATGATGGATCATTGCTTGCTAATGCGTCGATCGTATCGTTAACTTAAAAAAATCACAAGCTTAAATTATTGCTTGTTGCGCGTCACTCGAAAAGCTGAAGATAGAACATGCACAAAACTACGGCTCGTATACCATCATCGGCACTCGGTAACTATAAATAATTAAATAATCAATATTTCATATCGTTTCAAGTGTTACTCAGTGCAAAGACAAGTTAAAATCGAGTGCTAGGACCCGGCAAAGTACATTGTTCATGCCCTACTAATCGTAGCAACGTTACCAAAAAGCAAGATATAAATACTGCTTCGTGCGATAAATGTCCTAGCATATAATCGGTTCTCTTTGACCTTCATCAAAAAAAGGAGATGGCATTCTATTGACGCACTGGAGTCAGGAAAGATTATTCAATCACCAGTTAGCAGCGTACGAATCCTGAGATGAGGACAACTCGACGAGAAACAATTGTCCGCATAATGCAATCCACTGAGTTACCGGTTGTCTTCCTATCGAACTGAAAATCTATCTAATTCATTTATCAGTTAGGCCAAAACAGAAAGTACTGGTTGACTCCTAGGTATAAAGACATTTATGGGGGCCTTAGAGGAAAGGCGTAGCCGAAGGGTGAGGCGGAGAAAACATGGCATCCTTCTCACGTCTTTGAGAGTCCTGATAGGTGGCCGGAAATACGGGCGAAAGGGCAGCTTTCAAAACCGTCCTAGTGGACCGACACTAAAATTATGACCCGGGTCTTTTTGCGCAATTAAATACCCAAATGTCTTGTATACGAATACTGGCAATATATTTCTTTACTGCTAAACACTATATGTATGTTAGTAGATTAAAAGGCTTTTGTACGTGACGTAAATCTACGTGTGTATGAATGACTGTTATTTCGCCGATAGGTGTCTACTAGAAAGTCTCTGTGATGCCTCTGTATTTTGATATCGAAAAAGAAGGCGTTGTTGTTGCTGCTGCCGCTGGACCAATATGGTATTTTACTATGTTATTACACATACATTTTTATCTGTTTGAACACATAAACAATGAAGTGTTATGCGGATGCAGTATCTTAGGGAAGCCAGTGGAACACGTCAAAAGCTGTATAGAATTAAATAACGTATCTGTCAAAAGTCTGTAGTCTGTCCCACAGAATGGCTTATATGGCGAGGTTTTTTTAAAGTTGAACCCGACTGAAAGTGTACCTGCAAGATTGTGGAGTCACAGCCCAGCGACAAGGCCAAAAAATACAAGACAATCGTTTTAGGAGAGTTAAGAAGATTGTGCGCCTAGTCAAAAGAAAATTCTCAATTGAATAATAGCCTTTGAAATATTATTATATGTATTACATTACAAAAAACCAAGAGTAGACTCTCCAGTAGGACGTTGTCCTGACATACATCTCTATGCCAGTATATATAATCAGTACCAATATTAGCGCGGCAGAGTCATATATACGAGCACTGTTCAAACGAACCGAAATAACTTTCTCCTTCCTCTTCTCCTTCACAGACTTCACGCCTCGATGTTTAATTTCTTTAGTCCTCTGTAGAAATATGGTGTACAATGCTGCCATCGGAGTACATATATACTTTGTCAGCAAAAAATTTTTTACGTTGCAAATGTGTGTTTCCAGCAAGTATCCAGCAAGCATCTAGCCTTGAGGGCATAACTACAGCTAATGTATCTGGTTAGCCTATACGTTCATTATCAGACTGGTATTAACAGAAACAATAAAACAAACAGAACGAACGCCTGTGAGCAGCACACGATTCCATCTTGCACAGTAAATTTACCTCTGAGTGCTCACAGCCGCACAACGAAGATTTATCTATTGAGAATGTGCTTCAGAGTACGTAAAATTTATATCAATGTTTACATGAGTCAAACCTGACCATGAAAATGCAGAAAACGTTAAAAAGCTTTGATGCTCGCTAGAAGTGATAAGTATACACATGTCACTCAGAGAAGCCTAGGAGACTGAGCTTCATAGATGACACTAAAGAGTTGTATTGATAAAATGTTTTTCTATTTTTGGTTGAACTATAAACTGGATTTGTTTCAAATACGACGTCATTCAATCCTCCAAGTTTCGTTAAGTTCTCGCTTGGCGTTGACTTCAAACAGATATTTTGTCAGTTTTTATCATTTATCTCTAAAAAAATTCTATGCCGTAAAAAATGTCGCGGGTTTCCACAACTTGAAGTTAACAGGGCGAGTACTTGACACGCGCGGACCGCTCTATCCGTCTGTATAAATCCATATTGCGCACATTGTTTGTATAGCGTACCCATGACTCTGCATAGTACACACAGCTGAAGGCGGAACCAAAGGCTTCTCCCTATGATAACCGCGATTCCACTAGTGCAGGATGGGTGGCAGCGACCCCGAAAGAGAAAGAAGTCCGTTTGAGGAAGCAGTTGCTGCTGATGCTACTGCTGCTAGCGGAAGGAGCATAGCTATTTACGTAAATTGGCCTTGTCCTCGTTTTCCTCTCCCATCATACTACTCGACGTCTGCTGCCACTGCGGCTGCTGCTGTTCCTAGAAGTGTCCTCGACGACCTTTCTATCTTTATCCTTTGCGTTCTCACTTGCGCCCCTCTGTTCTCTTCCAATCTGGCGCCGCTGCCGATTTACCGTGTTAGGAATAGTTGGTCGCTCCGCTTGTTCGTTGGCTGTAACAGGCTGGCTTGAGATCTTAGGGAAATAGAAGCAAGTGTGGAGAGGGGGGCTGTTGTTCCCCGCACTGTTCGGTGGATTGATCAGTCAGTCGTCCGTTGGCCTAACCAAACAGCCACTCGGCTTCTTGGTAATGGCATCTTTAGCAATGCGCGATGTAAGGGGACTGGCGTTTTAGTAGCAGCGGCAAAAGAAGCAATGGTGGTCGCGTCGGTGACTGTTTGTGATGGGGGAAGCGCTGCAGCTACTCTTATGCGTCGTTTTGCTTGCCTTACTTGCCACGTTTTTCTGATTCGAATCTGATTCCAGGCCAGGTCTGGGCAAGCATGTAGCTCTTTGGTCGATATCAAAAAGGGACCTAGAACGAAGAAGTGAATGCGAGTTTGTTCTGACCAGCCTTCGATTGGAGTGTGGTGTGATGATAGCACAATGGCGGAAGGAAGTTAGTTGAGGAAACGATGGCACGACCTATTGGGCACGAATACATAGATATGAACGCAGGCAAACAGTTGGTACAGGATGTCGACCTCAATAAAGACAGCCTGCAGGATCGTGTATACTCCAAATGCATGCCAAATCTACGTAGGTTGGCCGGTCTTTCATTCAGTCAATGCTTGAGGTGAGGTATCAAGTTATGGAAAGTGGAGTATCTGAGAATACCTACGATCGAAAATTAAAAAAAAAAAAGCAAGTCTTTATAATATAAGAAAAGAAACATTTTTGTCCAATAATTTTGTTATTATGTAGTGGCGCGTTTCTAGATAGTAATGCTGCCTTGACGGCTTTTCAAAATATCAACAAGCTTGCGAGATAGAACTCGTCAAGCTCAGGACTAGCAAATATCACCATCAAGTGGCTAGAGCCGTCGGCAAGAATTATATCAGTACAACTCTAACATAAATGTTGTTCTTCAAAATTCAAAAATAGTATCGGACTGATATACGAAAAGTCTGGTTATGAAGACCAAACAGAAGGTCGCGATGTTTGCACCCGAATGGCTACACGTCAAACGTGCCAGGCAGGTTCTATTTTGAGAATTGAGGCCTAGTTTATCAACAAGAAAAACAGGCAGAATAGAGGATCCTAAATTTCTCTCACATGTAAAATACAGAGCGAGAGTTCCTATTGGACGACCTACTGCCATGTCTAAGTTCGATTTAGTCGTGATCAAGGAATTTTACATGTAGTGCATATCGTAAATATTAATTCAATTATGGATTGACACTACCCTAGCGACCATGAATTTCACTGGTGACAAGCTGAGCCAAGTTTTAATAGTGCAAATGATGAGCTTACCTGAAAGTACTGAAATCGTACGTTTGCATCTCTTGTTATTAGTACTTAGTTCCTATAAGTTCATTGCGGCTATAGCAATCATCGACAGTCGATGCGCGTGCATACACATTTTTTTCTTTAAGCAGCCAAAAGACATGATCCAGTAGTTACTCTGTTGACATAATCGATATGGGTTGCAGGATCCATTATGAAGCAAAAATACAAGTTCCCGTTTATCTCTCTCAAAAAAAATTTTTCGCCTACAGTTGGTCTGCTGTTCTCGGCTTTTGGTTGCTATTGTTTCCAGCGTGAACGGCTCATCCGTTATGTGAAAGTCCCATCCCTATGCGGCATTTACCTGTTCCGGTTCAGCGATACACGCCTAGGTCCAATACGAGTGTTCTCTTCATTAAGTCGCCCAGAGTGCCATCTTCCATATTTCATTTTTTCGCTCGTTCACGATCGTGGCTAAACTCTAGAACATCTCTCCTCTACGCAACTGCGACAGCTCTGTTACTAGCAGATCCAGCGCATCCAGTTTTCCCAAGTTACGTGGGCAACAGCTGGCTAACTGGTTGGCCATACCGCCACGTAGCAACAAAATACGCGTGTGCCAGCGACGTAACCGTGCGGTGCAGAAAGATTGTTACCGCGCGAACACGCACAAAGGACAAAAGTTTTCCGTACTATCAACACTTTGCCCAGCAGCAGCAGCAGCAGTACACTACCGTCAAGGGCGACTGCTGTGGTTGCCAGGACCAAAAGACGCTGAGCTGGGGTACCCGCGTTAATCCCTCATCGAGCGGGGTCCCAACGCTGCCGTATGTGTGAGCAAGCAAATAAGAAACAACACGATAAATACAACATCGAGATATTCAACATTGGGTCAACAAGCCCGCCATAGAATTTCGTTACCAGCTGTATCGCTTGCTGACGCACACCCGCGTTTACCGCCGTTGCTGGGATTGAGACCCGCACTCCGGGGTATGGCCAAATCCAGTCCTCGGTCCTCTGAAAGGAGTATCACGCTCCGTTGGACGTGCTTTTATGACTACCGAAGTTGTTTTCGAGACCTCTCGTAGTGAAATAGTCATGCATAAGAAACAATATAACATACAGCTGAGCGAATCGGAGCTGGCTGATGTTACTCGTTCATTGTGTCTCTAGACTTTATCTACGTCCAGTGTTAGATTTCTTCTCAACGACTCTGTGGCTCCGTGCATGTGTGCTGGTTAATGCGGAAAAAAGAACATGGCCATAAGCGAGCCCAAGTCGACACAGTATACAACCAAGCTGAAGTGTGCACATTTACATTTGTACAATTATAGCTGCTATTGTACGTAAGGCTACAGCGTCCATTGTACACTGGCCATGTGGCAATAGTCGTTACTGCTTTTACTATCTTGGATTCACGATAGATGGAGCTGGGTCTAGGACATATGTTGGCAATCCTCGAGTAGACTCTGTGTTACTCAAGCGTCCCTCGATTAACATATGTCCGTCATGAATGTAGACAAAGATAGAAATGCGGACCCTGAGTAAACATAAAGATGCTTATACAAAGTCACATGGAGGGCATGGACGACAAAGAAGCCCTGAAATCTTAAGGCCACACATAAGTGATGTCGGATAAATGCTACACTGGGACATTTTTTTTGCCCTCTGCTGCTGCTGCTGCTGCTGCTACTATTGCTTTTCCTGCAGCTGTTGTTTTATTGGAGCTTAGATTAGGCGCGCACGAGACATCGTGTGCAGTTCACGTACGTGTCGTGCCGTTATCATGGCAAAAATCGATCCGCTTATGTCAGTCCTCCTCCTGCTGCTGCGTGGGAATCGAAGTTGGGATCAACGCCAGACGGATAGAATATTAGCCGCGACAAGTAAATCTCTAGCGACGGCTTTTACACAATGAGTGTATTTTGGGTTAGCATTATAAGTTTCGATGTGGAAGTCATGAGGAAATTTTGTCGTTATGCGAGCAGCAATAGACGCTTTGAGAGTTCACTTTGGTGGGTTTCGCAACGGAGTAATACTATCTGAGATTCGGGGAGGCTCAAAACAGAACCCGAGTGGCTGAATAAGGAGTGCCACTGAGCGAAACGTTGACGGAGGTCGCGCTCGATTATCTGAAGCACAGTAAAGAAGTGGTTTGTCGCCATCGCCAGCCTCTATCTTGACTAGTATTGAGCACTTTATTTCAACTCCTTTCCTATTGTAGCACGAACAATACGATAAGATGGACCAATTCTAAGAGATACCGATTTCGTCCACAATTGCGTTTCTCAGACAGCTCCTAAATAGAGTTTTTAACTCTGACGAGACATTTTGAATTGTCACAAAACCGGATAGTCACCGATGTTGTGTAAAGGCTGAAAATATAAGTGAGAGATACAAATCAGTGTCTTTTGTGCTGGCTGGGTTATTACTATTGCCGAACAAGCCTAATGGGATCAGTCGCTGGTTGAATGAATTACAATCCACCGCTCGTAGAGGTCATGCGGCCACTCTGGACAAATGCGTTTCTCGTTCTTAACAATATTGTCTCTCATCACTTGAGATTACTCATCCCAGAATCAAGGAAGAAGAAATGAAAACCGATAGCCTCGTAGAAGGGAGTCGCAATTTTGTCAGTTGTCTGTTACCGGTCGGCGACGTTATTTTCCTTGGGCTCGTCCAGTGAAAAAGGAACGAGAAGCAATCAGAATCCGATGGGTGGCAGGCAGTGAGTAGCGCGCCCAGGTCACATACGGGCTATCATAGGGGTGGCGTTATCTCTACTAAATGACACGGTAAAAGGGTTGTCTACTTGCGGCGATCGTCGGGTGACGGCAAAAGGCAGAAGAGTAGAAAGAAATGCCACGAGCAAAGCTTTACGTAATATGTACTTTACGTTCTCACAATGGGCGGACCGTGACGATGTTTAATGATGCATGCCATTTGACGATCCGACAATAACGAGATTGCACTGTATTCATATATAATCTGCAGTGAAAAAGTTGGTGATAGTTAGAAAAAAAAAAAGAAATAAAGCTTTTAGTGGAAGGTTCGTTGTTTAGACAGTTAGTGGTCCCTGTATCGGCGCAACAAAGAGTGGAAATGCCAAAAAACTAAGCCTAAATGGCATCATCATCATCATTATTATTCGTTAGCGATCCATAAAGCGATCACTAGGTATTTCCAAATTTACAATTATTTCAATCACTAGAAGCTGATGCGAAACAATGCTGGCTTCCGGTAAGATAGTTCTTACATTTGTAAGAGTTCCTAAATAACGAGTACAGATTTGAGAGAACAAGGAGTATTCTATTTGTCCAATGTTTACATCAATATACAAGATACTCAAGTGGCGAATTGCTGCGTTTGTATCTGTGCACGTTAATGCGACCGTAGACGTTCTAGTACTATTTTTGTACAGTTTCTCAAGTGCCAAACGTGGATGCTCAATGCAACTGCGCACACTTGATAAGCACATAAAGTATCCACAAAAAATGATATAATATAACTTCATGTTCTCTGCTCCTTTAACAGGATTTTAAAATTGCTTGCCCGGAAGCGCGTTTTATAAATTAAATAAAATATGGACCACTAAAATACGGGTTAGATGCGATATCTGAGACGTTCAGAAGAAACTTCCTGACTTTGTATTAAATCATAATATTAGCCCTTGTGATACGCGCTACGCCTTCCAGGTCCATTCAAGCGATAACCCTTTTCCGGCCAAACGCTTGAAAAAGTGTTGGAACGTCATTTTGACGTCCAATTATTTGATGTAGCTAAAGCTGTTCTTGTTTAAATTAGAAAAATCAGGTGCGGATTGAATTTTAACAAAGCTGAGCCGGGATGCGAATAGATTTATTGAGAAATTGGAAACCGATTCATTGAAAAGTTAACGGTCCCACAGCGGCACTAGGTAGACTCTAAACAGTTACTTAAATACGTTAGTCATTGTCCCTTTCTCAATACCTATTCTTGTCTCTAGCTAAACTCTTGTTACCAGCCTACTTGACAGGTCCGACCCATTGAGAAGACATTAAAAGAACAAAGAAAATCAATATGATTACACTTACAACGTATTGCATAGGGCATCGATTGGATGTCGCCTTTTTTTCTGCTAGGATGCCTCGTTTCAGAAAAATCATTTGCCCTAAGCTAGACTAATTTAGTTGAAAAAACAACGCTTAAATTCAGATTTCGGTTTTAGCGCGAAGTAAACTAGGCCAGTTTGACACATGCATAGTTTCCTATCGATGCGGAAGCGTATACGACAACAAATAACTACAACAGTTCCATTCCCATTTGTTTCTATGACTCTCAAGGAAGGAAGATTTAAGCTAAATAAGACAG